TTCCACCCTGACACCCCCAGGCCCTGGCAGAGGAACCGCCCAGCGGTGAAAAGGGCCGGGTGGAGGGTTGGCAGGAGGTTGCTGGTGCCCGTGTGGGCAGTGTGGGCTCTGGGGACACGTCTGACTGCTCTGAGCCCTTCCTGCTCCGTCCCAGGGCCTGGCATGGCGCCCAGGCAGGGGAGGCTCCACCAGGGCTCCCGACCTGAGGACACGGCTGACCTTTGCGGCGGGCCATGATTTCCTGCCCCCACGCTCCTTCCCACGAGCAGAGGTGGCCCTTGGCCTTGCAGCCCCCACTGCGGCATGTACCACAGCCGGCCGACGAGGTCTGTTTACAGACGTTTCCCCATAAATATGTGCCAGGGATAAAGGGCACCGCATAAATCTACGGACGCTGCTGCCGGGGTTTTCCATGTTTAGTCATGACATGCGGAGTGTTTCTACTGGCTGCCAGGGTCATGCTCTCCACCGGGCCTTGTCGGTGGCGCAAACCTCTATTGCCCAGTGTACCTAACATGTGCCTAACAGGGAGGCCCCAGGCTGGGTCAGGCCCCCAAGGGCATCAAATGCAGGAGGAGGGGCCTGCAGACCATGTCCCAGGTGTGGTTCCCAAGGGCAGTGAGGGCGACAGATCCAACGGGGAGCCCCTGCCTGGCCGTCTGCTCGTCTCCTGCACCCATGTCACTGACGCTGTCTGCCTCCGGGACCCTGGCTTTGCTGCTGGGGCAGGCCTCATATCTTATGCGTCCTTCCGCTGGTGCCCAAGGTGGGGTCAGGAGTGACCGCGGGGTGAACAGAAGAGAGGGTGCCTGATTCCTCCTGCCCCCTTTCCAACTCAGCGGGACCAGCAGATCCTTATGGGCTTTGGCAGGGTCTTTTCAGTCAATGACCCGAGGTGAGGCCCAGCCTGGTGCCTGGCACGGAACAGGCACCCTGTGAGAGAGAACGCTGAGGGGCCAAAGGCTAGACAGCCGAGGACAGGCCAGAGAGGGGCGTGACTCTCACGGGCTCGAACAGGGGAGACGGGGCACAAAGCCACAACCAGAAGCAGGACAGTGAGTGGGAGAGCAGGTGTCGGGATCTAGCGGAGACTCTAGTGGGGCCCAGAGACACCGAACTAAAGGAATGGGATGGGGGTGGGGGGCGTGGTTTGAGTAATCGAATCATCCACTCACCTCGTGCGAGTTGGTGCCGTGAGCCACTCTGGTTTTGCAAACTGTGGGTGGGGTGGGGAGAGAAAAGCAGAGAAGAATCAGCGAGGTTATTCATCCACAAAGCCAGGCCTGGCAGACATAGGAGAAACCCCAAACTCCTGCAGCCCCTCCGGGTACGAGGCACGTGGGGCCGGGGGGACATGCTGCCTCGACAGTGGGGTGCGCCGACGCGCAGGGTGATCTGGACTGACACCACCAGGCCAGGCAGAGGAGCATTTTGGGTCAACACCACCTGAGGGCCCACGTCCAGTGTGTGGGGTCGGGACCTTGGCAGTGAAGGCTCTCATCCGCCCTCTGGAAGTTCAAGGCTGGGGTGTGGGTGTGGGCAGCCCTGTCAAGCCCATGGGTGCCCAGGGCACGGTACACACTGAATGGAAACGCCAGGCCATTCTGCTCCAGGAGCCGCATGGTGTCATCTCCGCATAGGCTCGTGAGCTCCATGAAGGGCGGTGAGCAGATCCGGTCATCTGAGGACAGAGGAGACACCTCCATCAGCACACCTGCCCGCTAGACGCCCACGGCCCATTCCCTGGGACAGACCCGCCTCTCCGGGGGCCACCCTCGATGCCCCTGCTCTCCTGATCCGACGCCCCAAACTCTGCAGTCGTGTGTGAACACACTCACACACACGAGAACAATAACATTAACTACATTTTCTAATAACGTCTCTGTAATTATAAAACCAACATATGATAACTATACAGTCGGACGTCAAAGAAAAGTGGAAGTACACGCACTCCTACCACCTCCTTCCCTTTATTTAGGCTCGGATACATATTTATACAGAGTTTCACAAAAGGATACTGTTTCGTAAGCCGAATTTTCACTCAATAAACTCTGGCTCTTTAAAGGCTTCCCCACCGCACAACTGAGGCTGCACACCGGCCTCTTACCACGCGTCCAGCCCCAAGTTACGCCCTCTGCGCACATCCCCTCTAAGTCTGCAAACTAATCCCACAAGGAGGAAGCCCAGGCTGGGAGAGAAAAGAGTGTGACCATGACCGTGGCCGTGACCATGGCTCCACAGCCATGCCTCCCCACCCGCTCACCACCTCAGGGAAAGCAGAGAACGAGACGGAGCTCCTGACACAGAAGCAGCCGCCACCGGCTCGGTGCTGCCTCCTGACTCCTCTCAAGCACACCCTCCTCCCCTCTCCAGCCCCCGCAGCCACCAGGCTTCCAGCCCCTGCCAAGTCCCAAACCCTTTCCATGCCTTCATTCCCACCTGGCACACCTGGGCCACCCTGAGCCCGCGTCTCAGGGGGCGCCCAGCTCCTCTGGGCGCCCACCCAGTGGGTTCTAGGTGTGTTTCATTTTCTGAAAAGCTCTGAGAGCTGAGCCTGCTCTGTTCATCAGGACACTCCTGGTGCCAGGCACCGACCGAATGAGGGCAAATTTGTGGGGTGACAAAGTGCACTGACTGGCTACTGATGGTTAAATCACACTACTGGCTTGTTAGTACCATGTCCTGTCCAGTCCCCTTCCCGATCGGACCACCAGGTCCTCAGGAAGTAGGACCTCCCTGTACTTCTGGACACAGGGGCCAGGAAAGGCTGAACGTTAGTAGGGTGCGGGTGGTCACCACCCACAAACTTGAAAACCAAACCAAAGTAAACAAGCAAAGTGGCTTGTCTCCAACAGCTTCTAGCTACATGGCTGGCTAGGAGGCCAGTACATTAAACTCAAGGTAAAGTCCAGCCTCTACCGGCTCATAAAAACGAAGGCCAAGAATCGCACAGGGCACATTGAGTCTGCCTCCTGGCCCCCCTCCCCACAAAGTCCAAACTCCAAATAGGCAAGAGTGTTGGCAGATTTCGGGGTTGCAGAGCTTCTAGCAAACCCCAGGAGGGTGGGCTGGAGCTGGTGTTGGCCGAGCCCTGGCAGACAGTGCTGCAGGCCCTACGCACAGAGCACCCACTGAGTCCTCAAATGCTATGGCAGTGCCTGCACGGACAGATGCTGAAAAAGAGGCCTGAGAGGCAGTCTTTGCCCAAGGTCACGTGACGGTCAACAACAGAGCCAGGACGAGGAGCCAGGCTCACAGGCAGGTCAGGAAAACAGAAGTCAGGAAGATTGAAGTGGGGTATGTGGGGTATGTCCTGGCTCTCAGCCACAAACCATTAATCTCAAGAAGACCCCATTTCTGCACCCCCGGCCCAGGGTCAGAGCTGGGGTGCAAATGCTGGCGAGGGGCTTGCAGGCCCGTCCATGCCCGAGGAGAGAGGAGGCATCTGTGCAATGGCTCTTGCTGCAAACCCAGCCCCTGCAGCTAGCCCTAACAACGTGACACTCGCGGCCTGAACAAACCGGAGGGTGCTGTGGCACACAGGCTTAGGGCGGCAGAGGCCAGGCCACCTTGGCCCACCACCCCAACCAGGAAGCTTCAGAGATTGCTGGAGGCAAATAGGCCTCCTCCTGTTAAGAGCTGCCAGACCCCTGACCACCAGGCTTTTCAGAGCAGGTGAGTCAGCCTGGATTTTAGATTTGCCTTTTGATGCCCACCTCAGTGTCTCCTCCCACCCCAGCCCATCAAAACTTTCACATAATGTCACCGCCAAGAGCCAACATCTCAATAAATCACACTTGTTTTATGTGGCAGGCACTGCTCTACATAGTCTACAGAGCACCTCGTTTACCCTCAAAAGAACCCCACGAGGAAGTACCGTCACCCCCATTTTGTAGATGTGGAAAACGGGGGCACAGAGAAATGTAGTCCCCTGCACAGAGTTACACAGTGAGTAAGTGGTCCAGCTGGGCAGGTCGGCTCCTATCTGGGCAGCTGGCTCTAAGACTGTGCCATTGACCATGGACTCCCTAGCATGTTCACACTTCATATGAACAGAGTAAAGGACAAAAACCACACAGTCCTACTAACAAATGGAGGAAAAGCATCTGATAAAATTTAACACCCTCTCACCACACACACACACACACACACACACACACACACACACACAACACTTAATAAACTAGGAATTGAAAGGAATGTCTTCACTTGATTAAAGGGCATCTACAAAAACCCACAGAAACATTCCACTTATGGTGAAAGGCTGGGCGCATCCCCTAAGATCAGGAATAAGACCGGGGTGTCTGCTCCCACCACTTGTATCCAACAGGGGGCCAGCCCTGGGTGAAAGCAGTCCTGAGCCCACCAGGCAGAGGCTGGCAGGGACCTGTGACCTTCGCTCTGCTCTGTGCCTGGGGCCTGCCCGCTCTCTGAACTTGAGGTACAGCAGACCATAAGGTCTCAGCTGCTTGAGGCACTTTCCGGCTACTTGAAGCCCAAATCATCCTGACATGCCCATGAAATCACAGTCAATTACAAACTACTCCTGTTCCTATTTTGGGTTCAACAACCATTCACCACCAAAAAAAAACAAAAACAAACAAACAAACAAACAAAAAAACGTGCTGAGACTCAACTAACGCTCTGGAGCTAGAGACGCAGCAGTGAATGAGCACAGCCACCCCTGCCCTGGTGGAGCTCACATCCAGGTGACCAGGCTGATGAGTACGATGGACAGCCAGATGGGTGCTGGCAGGAAATAACAGGGGGAGTGCAAGGGGGTGCCAGCGCAGATGGGGGTGCGATCGGGAAGCACCTCGCTGAGTGAAGACTTGGGAGGATGAGTGAAGGGGCGTGCATCTCGGGGAGGGAGGTTCCCAGCGAGGGGACGGCCTCCGCAAAGGCCCTGCATGAGGACATGCTGCGACCCGACACGCAGACTGGACCGAGGACAGTGACATCATCAGTCTAGCTCGTAGACAGAGGGCACCTGGCTGAGTGGGAGGACCGGGGAAGGAACCAGGCCCTGCAGCAGCGAAGCCAGTGCCCTGATAGCAGTGGACACTCCGGCCCCACCGTGGTGGGTGAGGGACCGTGACAGCAGAGGCTCCGCCAGCTCAACCATGGGAAACTCGCGACACCGCCAGCAGCTCTTCTCCCCAGACAGAGACAAAGACTCTTTCTATAAGGCAGCAACTGGGAGCCGGGGAGGCTATTTCTGGTTCCCTGAAAAAGGCTGCTGTTGCTTATTTATCTACTGTCTTTATTTCTGGATGGGAGTTGGAAAGAGGCTTTTTTTAGTTAGATGGTGGGTTGTGTTCTGTTAAGAGCTGAAAGATCAGCCCCTGGGAAACTGAAAGACCCCTGTCTTCCCTCCCCGACACCGTCATCAGAGAATGCGAAGCAGGAGGGCCTAGGAGATGTCCCAAGCGCATCTGAGTCCAGAGAGTGGAAGAGAATAGTTCAAGGCCACACCCACAAGTCACAGACAGGCCCAGGGCAAGAACCCAGGCATCCCAAGTCACATGCCACTGCCCTATGGCACTCTGCCAGGTGGCCACACCCTCATCTGGCTGGTGGCAGCTGCTACAGAACTAGCAAGAAGACAAAGACCAATGACAAACAGGTGGATACGAAAGGACAACTGAAGGTGGGAGAGAAGGGCAGACGGCACTAAGAAAGCGCCGCTCTGAAGCCTGACTTCGAACTTGGGCCAGACGACTCGTTAGCGGTAACTTGTGGCAGACGAATGAACTCCACCGGGCCTCGCTCTACTGTGTGTACAATGGGAGCCACGCGGCGCTCGCAGGCGCCCAGCAATGGCAGCTGTTCCCAGTGCTGGGCGAGGCCAGCTGGGGACTCCCACGGAGAGCAGGTGGACCCTGAACAGTGGCCACCGGTCCATGTCCGGCTTCCTGGGGTGCTGGCAGCCGGGCCGCACCCTCACTGGCTTCGTCCCTGGGTCCAGCACGGTGCTGGCAGGGCGGGTCCTCCTCAGCGGCTGTGAAGGAAGCCTTGGCCGAGCACTGGTGGTGTTGGGCCTGCGGACAGCTATGACAAGACTCTGCCTCGGGTCTCTTCTCTTGAACAGGGTGAACGTCTTCACCCAGACAATACCCGATGAAAATAAGACTCGGGCAGGGAGAGTCCCTGAGGACACGCAGGACCCCAGTAAAGGATGACGCCCGGGAGTTAAGGCCGTGCTGAGGGGAGACGGAAGGCAGAGGAGGGGCCCGGGGGGCCGGGAGCCCGCTGCCTGGTGCTGCGCCGCGGCGACCCCGCATCCGGAACACGCCGCGGGGAGCATTAAGACACCGCGGGCGTCCCCCTCGCTAGAACGTCAGTTCGGCGAGGGCGGGGGCGTGTGGGGTTTGCTGGCCACTGCAGGCCCAGCGCCTAGAACACCGCCTGGCACACAGCATGTGCTCGACAAACCCTGCCGAGCGAAGGGGCTGACGGGGCCCTGACGCACAAGGCGGGCTCCTCCGGCATCCGGGCCGGCGGTCGGCATGTCCCCTGTGCCGCCTGGTGCGAAGGCCCTCGCGCCACTGTTATGTGGGCTCCCTCTGCTCCCCCCGAGGCCTGTCCCACCCAGGGTGTGCTCCACTGGACAATGAGACGGCGGCCACATTCGTCCCCTCTCAGCCTGGCCTTTTACTTCTCTGAAGGACTTTCCCCCGC